ATTACTACAAGTATGATGAAAAGATAAACAAATAAAGCTCAAAATAATGCCTCTAGTAGGCACAAATATTAGTACAAAATAAACTATTTAGATGCAGGAGTAAGAACAACAAATATAGGCAATAACACTTAAAAAATATTGATGATTCTTGGAACAAATATGGGCAATAATACTTAAAGAGATTGATGATTCTTGGAGAGAACCAATGAAGAACAAATAGCTTTTTCAAGCCTTTCTCCCATGGATAAACTCTTTTATATTAGAATCTCTTCACTCTATTTTGCTCTCTTGTTGTTTCTCTCTTTTTCACTTAAGTGTCTTTAGTACAATGTACTTGAATTTTTCATGTCAAACACATGCATATATAGCATGAATCAAGCTTATAGAGCTTGTGAGTTTTATAGAACCATTAGAAAGAGATTAAATCACTCTACGAAATGTTTAGAACATATTCCCAACAATATTAAAGGCTTACGAAAAGACGAAAAAGTCGTTAAGCCTTCAAATGATTTTAAGTCTTCTTTTTCTTCGTGGTGTGGTCAACTATCATCACTAAGTAGTCGAGTGCTTCAATCTTATCTGAAATAAGTAGTTAACTATCATGTTCAAGTAGTCGACTACTATTCGTAGGAGAATTTTTTTTTTCTCTCTAGTGGTTGACTACTATTCGCAGAAGAAAATCTTCTCTCTAGTGGTCGACAACTACCTATTAGTAGTCGGGAACTTCATGCAAATTATTCTTAGTTGATAAACATAGTCAAATATCCTCATTTCATTAGTCGACTACTAACCATAGAAAGTGTGACATCAAGCTTAGCTGTCACAAGTGTTCAATCGACTATTGCCTTATGGGCAATCAACTACTAACTGTGTTCAACATTGAAAAACTCAAGTAGGTGACTCCTAGAGTTTACGAGTCAATTCCTAAAGCTTCCAAACTTAGAACCTTTCTATTTTAACCATTGGTCTCTAAGGTTTTGATAAAACTGAGGTAAGCCTGTGTTAAACACATAGTAGTACATCTTGCAACTTATTACATCAAGTCCTCTAAAAATAAGAAAAATTGGAAACTCTAGAGCTTGATATATTCTTCTTCTTGTCCACGGAAGCACATTTCCTTGCTTGGAAAGAGTTTGGTCCATCATTTGATACAACTACTTCTTCATGTCTTAAATCATCATTGTTTGTATTAAATCTTTCAAGTTCAATTAAGAAATCATTTGATACAACTATAAACTTGCTTTTACAGAACATTAGTACTCTAAATGAGTCTATTCTCATAAAACACATAGGATCAATAGGGATCTCACCCCTTTCCTAATGAACGCATGTGAAAGAATGAACCATAACGACAGTTCCTAGTCTTCTGTGATTGGATGATGTGGAATCTAGCTGAACACCAATCTAAAAGTTTGTGGTTTATATATCTAWAGTGTTAATATCATGATGCMATTCGTATTGCCTCCATCGCATACTTACACATCCTTTAAATTAACATTTCCTAGTGGAGTTCATTTTATTGTGAMAGAATGAACCATAACGACAGTTCCTAGTCTTYTGTGATTGGATGATGTGGAATCTAGCTGAACACCAATCTAAAAGTTTGTGGTTTATATATCTAWAGTGTTAATATCATGATGCVATTCGTATTGCCTCCATCGCATACTTACACATCCTTTAAATTAACATTTCCTAGTGGAGTTCATTTTATTGTGACAGAGGTACCATTAATTCAAGCACGAGTTTTTGTGGAGTTATCTATGTTTCTAAACTCTAATGATAAATCATTTCTTGGTACTACAGGCGGTCGTTTAACTCGTTAGGTTTGATGAAGGAAGCTGAATTAGATTTGCAAATAGGCTCAAGATCTTGGCAACTCACCTGCTGATTCATTCGGACTCGCAAATTGTGATACAAGCTTGGCAATGTTCATCTATTCTTCCTTGGCAATGTTTTCTTTTGCAACAAGTTAGGACATTAGGCCATCTTATGTTCAACTTTAATTCCCCATTCTTTCCAAAAATAAAATTCTATAACGGACAATGAGAAAATGTTGCTACGAACGAAATGCTTTTCGAAAGAAAATGAATTCATTTCATGGCAGGAATGAGCAAAATTTTGTACCTATTTTGTTCAACTGAAATAATAAAACATGTACGATGCTCATTAGTAGATATATGGAGGAGACATACGGTACCCTCACCAACAAAACACAAATCAGCCATGTGGGCCCGACATTAATAACACAAAATATGAAAAATAAAAAATAGACTAAGAAAATCTTATGCATTAGGTTGCTTAGATTATCACCTATTTAAAACCAATTTCGCCAATTGTATAAATTAAGAAAAGAGATTGAACTTCTAAATACAAATAAAATTTAAAAAATTGTAAAATTAAAAATAAAATAATAACATGAATTTCACAATTTCACCAAATTGGTGTATTCAATACAGATAAGATGATAAGCTAAGAAATTCATAAAATATAATAAAACACCATAAAAACATGGCATATGTAGCACATTTTCATTATTAAAAAAAAAAAAGAAAAACAATGCCAATTGCCGACAAAGATGTTTACTGGCATATGGCTGACAGCCAATTTCCAAGCAAGTTTCCATAACAGTCTACCAGCCAATGAGCATGAATTAAAAGAACGAAGCCTGGAGCAACAAACCAAATATAGCCTTAGTTTATGAATGTGGGCACATTCAATTTTCTTTCGTTAGTAGATCTTTTAACAATTCTGATCATGGTTTTCAAAACCAGACCGGATCGGACAGTCAGACCGGAAAAACTGGTAACCAGTCAGCCCCCGGGTCCGATTATACTATAAATCAAAAATTCCTTAAAAATGTAGAAAACAAAAAACCATTGACCCGGGCGGTCAAACCGCTACACCGTTCGACCTGGGCAGCGGTTCGGGGGTTATATTTTTTATTTTTGCTGATTTAAATAAAATAGAAAAAACAAAAAATAAAATGAGTTTCATATCCCTGCCCCAAATCTTACTAATAGTTAGGGTTAGAACGACCCCCATTTTTGTTCTAACCCTTCCCTCCTCTCAGCCTTCACACCCAACCAACCACCTGCGGCGACCATGATCTACGGCATCCGACGGTGACACACAGCAACTGACAGCAATTTACAGCAACCAGCGACGGCGGTGAGCTTCATCTATAATGGCCAGCGTTGATTTTGCAACAGGTCTAACCATCCAACAGTAACAGTTGCGGTAGTAATTGGTCCGACGATCGACTTGTAGTGGCGGCCGACGATTTTGCAGCGGCGGGTGATTTTGCAACGACGGTCAGGGGTTTCTAACGGCAATAACAATTGCAGGCTTGCAGCAGCACTTGCAGCGAGAATCACCTGTGACCAAGCCCGAGCCCACCGTCACACCACCATTACCGGCAAGTCCACCGTCACACCATCGCCGGGCCAGTCCACCGGTGGCCATTCGACCCAGATAGTTCGTTCAAAAGATGGGGCAGGCAAGGCAGTCTCGGGGCTCTCCCGAGACTTTAGCTCAGCCACATCCTTCTTTTGAACCGACTCCATGCTGCTTTAATGAAGCATGCAGCCCATGTGCGCCATTGGTACGAATAGAACCAAAACTTGTGTCTAAGTTGCTTGATATGAAGCCTATGGAATTGCGACGCCACCAACTTCAAGTCATCGGCAATGAGTGCGAACGCCTCGACTTCAGAAATGGCCTTGACGATGTGTATAGACGACGGAAGGATGACACTTGGGCGTGGATCAAGCACCCATTTCAGCAGTTCCTCGCCACAGAAGTCGCTGGGGCCAATGCGACATGAATTGAAGAACCCCGTACGACCACCATTGGTAGTATTAGACTCCGGGGAGCCTCGAATTATAGCCTCTCACATATCGCATCTAGCATTCGCTCGTCCATCTGGTCAAACAGTGGCACCTGGTTTTTTTTTTTCAAGTCAGACAGATTAAAATTCCATAACATAAAAAGATAAAACCATATATAAGACATACAATTGATACTGACTCATCGAACAAGGTCCAAGCAAAGGTGGCGCTTGATGTCTCTGCGGAGATCCATGGGTAGGCCTTTGAGAAGAGCTTCTTCATCAACTCCCCGGTTCGTTCAAAAATACAAAACAGATTTTTGTATTTAGATAATTTTATTCTGTATTTTTTCTTATTTTAGTTAATTTTACGCTATTTTTTATTATTTTTAAATATTTTTTTTATTTTTTATTTATTTATGACATCACAGGTCAAACTGTTCGACCCAGGCGGTTGAACCACTTAACCAGAAACCGGTTCTGTTTCCGGTTCGTTTTTAAAAACCTTGATTCTCATCACTCTATGACCCGATTTGCTAAATGGTTGGTTTTAGATATTTGGATCGACCAGCCTCCGATCTAAGTTGCATGATGTAACAGGAACTATTGTCTTTAATGGCGTTTAATATAGTTCCATTGTTTCGCAAAAAAAAAAAAAATCTGATTTTTATGATTTTCAAATATCTCAAAGAAAATTCCCCCAAATATCCTGATCAGCCATGATAAATTATCAGACAATATAAAAATTGTAAACCATGCATTAAACCTCGGTATTATACTATTATTATTGACGAATGTAGAAATTGAGTTTACATATATTCTAATCATTCAGCCAATTTGTGATTATGCATTTAAAAATGCCTTTCTGATATTCATACATCCACCATAAGGGGAAAATAAAAGCGAATTGTAGTACGATCTGCTCCACCTAAATAGGCTGCAACTAGCAAGGTCAGCTTCCTAAATATTAAACTAACAAATTATTTAAGTTGATCAAATTCAGTAGACAAACTTCAACCAGCGAATAAATCATAACCTATACCAGTTTTACAGAAGGGAAGGTCAACTCTAACAGGTAGATCAAGGAATCAAACTGTTACCTAAAAGCAGCAATTCTATGAAGCTCTACTTCTGAGTGTGGCACGTGAATACTTCAGAATAAAGCAGTAGGATATACTCAAATATGATTGCCTGCCCTTGAAATAAATATCTTTATATTGTATTAACAGTATAATTACAGAAGAACGATTTTTACGCAAATGAATCAAAAACATGGACTTACTCAACAGCAGTAGTCTGCGGGATGCAATTGTCAGGAAAAAATTACAATATACACAGTCCTGCCAAGGATCTCCGCCAGATCTCAACAATCTTATAGCAGTTGTTGGCTGTTGGAAAATAATCCAGAAGCTCTGCCTTCTAACGCAGTAGAGGATGTGAATTTTTAACTTACATAATATTATTGTCCAAACCTCCGCCTCACTGAATAGGAGATAATGGCAATTATTAGAACAAACTAATCCAATACGTCAAAGATAAGAAAGCGAGATCATTAATGCTTGTCCATGAAAATCGTGCCTAGCATGCAATTATGCCCCATGGGTCCGTAACATACAGAAATTTACACAGCTCCTTCTACGACACAGGCTATAACATGGACAGCAAACCAAACTACTAATGCACTGTGAAGGGAGGGTTTGGTGAATAAAAACCATAGTAGACAGGACCCCAAGTTTAGTCAATCTTTATCCACTTCCTAACAATATCAGTTTATACCCCAAAATTAATGATGCTAGATATCTTCTTTTATTTTCTTTTAATTCTTTCCCTAAGGATGGTTAACACATGCAACCCTTCTAGATAATATTGTAGCTCTGAAGTGCTCACAAGCCCATATAGGGAACTGGTTTACAGAAAGATTCTGGATTAGCTATACATGGATGGCTGTGCTAGGGGCTATGTAACCAATAATAAACCCTACATCATCTATAAAGTGTATATGTCCCCACAGCCCAATCCATTGCATCTTCACTTGGTTTTGAAACAGTGATTTTTCCATTTCAGAACCCAGACTGATTTTTTTCGAAAAACTGTAAAGCTGCTGGATCATGGTCCAAAGGATCCAACCAATGCAATCTGGGTCTAACAACATTACTTCTAGAAACAACTCCTAAGCAGGCTAAGCTGACAGTGGAGGTTTCCCAGTTATTTAAGATATTTTAAACAACTTGCTCAGGTAAATTGTGATAACAGATGGCCAATCCTATGAGTGCAATTTTTAGGCCAAATCCCATAACAGAAGTTTATACCAATTTTAATGTCTTTAGGATGCTATGTTAACCATGTGCTAAAGTGAATACACAAGAACTAGAATGATCAGGTGACAAATCTTCCACAAAAAAAAAAAAGGTAACAGATTTCTGACCAGGTGATAAAACTCACCAAAAAATTAAAATAATGATGCCCCAATATCATAATTAAGCTGGTCTCCAACAAGTAATGGCAGACACATCTGGTCTGCATGGAAGCATCTGGCCAACACCATGACCTGAAGCTGAAGGAACTAGAAACACCAAAATGTTCATGGCTTGAAAAAGTGGACAAGTGCCATAACCAATTTTTTCAACACAGCCAAGCAGCTCATTTACAAGCAAATATCACCTGGAACTGAAGCTCCAGATGCTAGAGGATTGTGCACAGGATGTTGAAAACCCATATTATTTGTTGAGGACCTCTCAACAGGTGGCTGAAAGTAGCCTGCCACCAGCAAAATCTATTACAAGTATTTAAACTAGACTTTAGTGGTTGAATTACCAAAAGCAACGGGTATGTACAAAATCAATGTCATAAGGTTCCATAAACAATGACATGGAAACAGATATGAGATCAGACAATATTCAAAAACACATACATGCAAGCATGCAGCCACCATTGTACTCATCCTAAAGAAATTTGTTCTAAAATGCAATGTGTCATCTTGTAAACTAAAACACATTTACCTATACATAACAACTACAATGGATTTTAGAAAAAATCCAGGTCCACAAACTAGAATTCCTTCCCCAGTAATATATGTCAGCAACATAATTGGAAATGAACTTTGAAATAATTTTTTTTTTTTGTTTTTCTTGAAAGAATTTTCATTCAGTATAATCAGATGCACAGATCAATTATAAAATTTTAGCCATCATTATGTTGTTTATATCCATTGATCAATATTTATTAAATAGTGATTAATTTCCTCTAACAAATTTGATTTCTAGGGGCCCTTGTTTCTCCACATAGGTGACCATTATATCCATTAATCTAAAACAGGTAAATCTCACCAAATTCTTTTATTTCAGAAAAACTAATTATGTTTTAACATATAAAGGAAAAATCTATGACACCAGAAAGACACGATACCAGAAAGGCTTTGGCCACTCAAAACCCCCATGAATTTTGATGAAACCCACCTGATTGGTTACCACTTTTACAATGCCGGTTGATTGGTTAAGTTTTTCCAGTATCATGTCTTTCCAGTATCACAGACACACCCTATAAAGTAAGCAAACTTTAGGTCTGTAACAAAAAGTGTCTTAAAAGAAAAAGAAGCATATACAAGATGCATACAAAGGCAAAGAAGCATATACAAGATGTATACAAAGATGTGTATTAAAGCAAGATGACAGAATCCAATGCTTCCTGAACGCCTAAACTACCTTTTAAAATATACGATAACCAAAAGAAGAGATGCAAATATATGGAATGACAACATTATTGATTTGCAGTAAGGAATTAATCTAAATATGTTCCATAAAAATTGACCAAAAAAACTAAGTTACTTTAATTGCTATAAACAAAAGAATATACAAGGAGTTCAAGGCCAGGGTTCTTTTATGTGGGTGGTTTTCCCGGTTACTGCACCTTGCTTGTTTTTGTATTTATGTTCCATCTGTTGAGAAAATTAAGGATAAAGTCGTTTAAACAATGATACTACCATGAAACAGGAAAAGCTTAAATTTTTCAACACCGCCAATCATGTGCTATGCATCCCTCATCCCTACTCTAGATGATATAGAGGGTAACGGTTTTAAAGTCTCTGATTAATGAACTGATTTTGTTGTTACTAATAAAAAGTACATAAAGGAGAACAAATAAAAAGTATACAAGGACAAAATGGAAATTTGATGGCTCGGCCATTACCCAATGTTGGTCCCAGAAATCTGGGGTCCTGAGAAAGGTAGTCTGGGTATGGTGCTAACCTTTCGCATTTTGGTTCTTTACGAAAAACCCAAATTTCTCAATTGAAATAACAGTTAAATTACTGGTAAGTTAGAATTATCTCAAAAGTCACATCACGTAGGTATCGTAATGGACTAATGGTACACTGCAATTATATATATATGAGTTTCTGGGTTTAGTCACAGAACCATGTATAAGTGTGTATAACAAAAACAGGTCACAGTGATGTAGGACCAGTCCAATTTTTTTGAAGAGTACAAATAAAAATCCATTGATAGAAGTAAAAAACTTATTACAACCAAACATGGGTGCTCAGATAACACCCAATCCAACTACAGGACAGCAAAGACACAGACGAACAAGCTCTTGATCTTCATTTTATCCCTGTCCTCCTTCCCAACTAGTTGAGATAAAGCACAACTCTCAGCAACCCGACCTCCCTCCACCTTATTTCCTGGCCCTGTCCTAACCTTGCTGCAGCTTGAAACTCTACCCCCCTCCTTTCACCACTCTTCTTGGAATCTATATCTTTTAATCTCTTCCTCTTGTAGACTCTCTTATATTTATTGGAACGACCCGCCCCAATCAACCTGTCTTTTAGTCTTGAGAAAGCCTTTGATACGTGGACAAAATGAAACTTGTTTGTCTCTCTGGCTTTTTTCACCCCTTCTAGAGGTTCAACATCTCCTTCCTTGTTCACGCTTCTTCTCCGACCTAGATCGACTCCAATCCTACCAACTGAAACTTCAAGCTTTCGGAAATTCTCGCACTCTACTGACAAACCAGTTTCCCAGTCCTTGTCCAAAATCTTTTCCCGAGTCCTCAACACAACAGAAAACTTTTGAATTCTTGTCACCACCCCCTTCACAGCCTCCCTTCCCAGCATTCCTTACTTGCCCTCTCCTCACCTTACTGACCCCTTCACGACTTCCCCAAGCCCACCTCCCTTCCCTCCTGATCTTCTGAATAACGAGCTTCTTGATCCTCTACCTTCACACTCCATGGCTGAGACGAATTAGGAAGGTATAAAATTTCTATGATTGTTGATGACTGCAGCAGGTTCTTGAAGGAATAAAAAAGAAAATAGAGAGAAAAAGAAGAGAGAGAATAACCAGAACCAATCAAGGGGTACCTAGAATCACTCTAGGGTATGGGAACCATTCACCATAATTGGCATAAGCTCAAGAAAACTCAATAAACTTCATTGATCTTTGTGAAAAACGTCCATACATATTTATAGACTCTAGACTCATGATAATCCTAGGACACAAATGGTTAGACTCGTAAGAATCCTAGGACTCGATGGGATACTCTGTTGAAAGCAATTTGGATTTGGGAGAATTACAGTGGGATAGAGTGCCAGAAACCGAAGCTGCCCTCTTAGAAAGAGCCTTCAGTGTAGAGGAGGTCCATGAAACAATTTTGTCAATGGATAGATCAAAAGCCCCAGGGACGGATGGTTTTTCAATGGCTTTCTATCAAGATTGTTGGGAAATCTTGAAGGATGATTTTTTTTTTTTTGATCAATAACACTTTCATTAATTCATCAATAGAATATTTACAAAAGGAAGACAAACACGCTTATCTTCCAAGAGCAACAAAGAACCTCAAGAAAAGGAAAAAAGAAAGAAAAGAAAGAAAACACACTAAAGTTACAGCTTGGCCCAAAAAAGTAAATCCCTTTCTGCCCCTTGTTTAGCTAAACCGTCAGCTAGGGAATCAAATCTTGAAGGATGATTTAATGGATGTCTTTGTTGAGTTCTATCAAAAAGGGAAACTCTCTCCAGGAGCAAATGCAACCTTTATTGCTCGAGTGCCAAAAAAGAAAGAGGCCAAAACCCCCAAGGATTACAGGCCGATAAGTCTTGTGGGTAGCATGTACGAGATCATTGCTAAAGTTCCGGCTGGTCAGTTGAAGACAGTCTTGCCTTTCGTTATTTCACAGAACCAAGGAGCTTTTGTTGAAGGGAGACAAATAGTGGATCAAATATTAGTGGCAAATGAATGTGTGGCAGCTAAGAAAAAACAAGGTGGCAAAGGTTTGGTTTGTAAATTGGATCTAGAAAAAGCTTATGATATGGTGAATTGGTCCTTCTTGTTGAATCTCATGGAAAAGATGGGTTCAGGTGAAAGATGGAGATTGTGGATCAAAGAATGTATTAGCTCCACACACTCCTCTATTCTCCTAAATGGGGTAGCAAAGGATTTCTTCCCGGCTAAAAGAGGACTGAGATAGGGTGATCCCTTATCCCCATTTTTATTTACTATTGTGGCTGAGGTTCTGAGTAGACAAATCATCAAGGCCGACCAAGAAAATCAGTTTAAAGGCTGGAGGATTGGTAGTTCAGAAGTGGTGGTGTCTCACTTGCAATTTGCAGATGATACAGTCATTTTCTGTGAGAGTTGTGATGAATCCAGTTTGAGGAATCTGAAAATTTTGGTGGACAAGTTTCAATAGGCCTCCAAACTAAAAGTAAATTGGGGAAAAAGTTGTGTAGCTGGAATAAACATAGGGGAGGGGGACATCCAAGCCATGGCAAATTTGCTAGGTTGTGAAGTGAAAAGCTGGCCTTTAGAATACCTAGGTATGCCCTTGGGGGGAAACCCGAAAACTGAAAGCTTTTGGAAGCCAATTTTAGAGAGATTCACAAAGAAGTTGGCAATGTGGAAGAGAAATTATACTTCTTTGGGGGGAAGAGTCACCTTGATAAAATCCACCCTAGCAAACCTGCCCACCTATTTCCTCTCCACCTTTAAGATCCCTATGAAAATAGCAAGGAAGTTGGAGAAGATAATAAGGGATTTCTTGTGGGAACCTGGTGATGAAAAGAGGAATCATTTAGTGAAGTGGGAGCAAGTCTGTAAACCTAAGGAGCAAGGTGGCCTAGGTATTGGGAACATTTTACAGAAAAATAAGGCCCTCCTAGGGAAATGGTTGTAGAGCAGGGTCATTAAGAGCATTCATGGTGAAGCAGAAAACGACTGGGATGCAAAACTAGCTTCCAATGCAGCTCCAAACTCCCCCTGGAAGGCAATCTTTGAGGTACTACCAACCTTTCTTCAATTTATCCGTTTCGATGTTGGGTGTGGCAATAAGGTTTTATTCTGGGAAGACCTTTGGGTTGGGGATTTGCCTTTTAAGGATAAATTTCCAGACCTCTACTCTTTATCAAACCTTAAAAACAAACCTGTTGCTAGGGTTGGCATACTTTCAGACTTGGGTATCTCTTGGGACTTTGGCTTTAGAAGGGGGCTAAGGGAAAATGAATGTGAGCCCCTATTGCTTTTGCTATCGACCCTTGAGAAAGTCTATTTAGATCAAACTACAGCTGATAGTAGAGTATGGTACCCAACTCCTGAAGATTTATTTTCTTGTGCCTCTTTCTTCGGTTTTCTCACTCATTCTGATCCTTTGGGGGTGAACTTTCCAGTGAGAGAAATCTGGTGTAAACCGATCCTCCTAAAGTGCAAGCCTTCTGTTGGTAAGTGTTCCTAGGGAAGGTTAACACTTGTGATGTGCTACAGAAAAGAAGGCCAAATAAATGCCTCTCTCCTCATGTGTGTGTCCTTTGTAAGGATTGTGGTGAAACTCTACCCCACTTACTCTTATCCTACTCTTTTGTTTCTTAGGAAATTGTTTGTTCTCTCTTTGGATGCAGATGGGCTCCCCCACAGGATGTGGTAAGTCTATTCAGCCCCTCCTTCCTAAGGCAACAGCAGAAAAGAGGAAAGTGCTTAGGGAAGGCAGCAAGAGCTTCTGTGGTTTGGACTATATGGGAAGAAAGAAACCAAAGACTCTTCTCTGAAAAAAGTAAATCAAAGGAGGAAGTCATTGAAACCATAAAAATCAGAACTGCACATTGGGTGATGACCATGAAACTATTCAAAAACTTCTCCATGAATGAGATTCTAAGAAGCTAGACTGAAGTAGCACAGACAGATGTACCCAAAGAAGTTGTGAGAGCGGAGTGGAAGCCACTTGCACTGAACAAATAAAACTAAACTTTGATGGGAGTTCCTTTGGCAACCCTGGGAAGGACAGGTATAGGGGGTGTTATTAGAAATCATCTAGGTGAAGTTGTGGCACTCTTCTCAGGACCAAATAGGTATTGGTAACTCAATACAGGCTGAATCTTTGGCTCTACGTTAAGGTTTAAAGATGGCTGAGCAGATTAGTACAACAGATTTAGAAATAGGAGACTCAATGCTGGTCATTTCTTGGGCTAAAAACATTACATCTGCACCTTGGAAGCTCAAATTTATATACAGAAATTGACATAATTGCAAGGAGGTTCAACACTCAGTTTGGTTGGGTCAAAAGGACTGCAAATGGGTTGGCAGACACCCTAGCAAAACAGGGGGCAAATAGATCTACCTTGTACTGGACAGAACTGTAAATGCTTTGTAGTGTTTGCAGATTGGGTTAATGCTTTCTGCAACCTATAACTATTGTATTTCAATATTTCTCTGTTATTGATAAAATCTTTTTGCTGATCAAAAAAAAACAAAGAATCCTAGGACTCGCATTGAATTGGCATTATCCTGTTTCATCCAAAGAAGACTCAATAATTCTAATCCTACTTATTCAATGACTTTGAAACTTTAAACATAAACAAACTATAAGTAGGCAAATCAGACTTTTTCATTGGACCCCACAGAAAATTATAAAATGACAAACATATCCCTGCTGTCCAAAAAATATAGAAATACATAAATTTTAGAAGTCTATAAAGGAAAATTGTGTGCATTCTGCAGATGTGCTGGACTAAATATATAAAGATGGAATGATAGAGAGAGACTGAGAGAGACGGAGATGCCTTCTGAAGGTAACAAAAGAAAGAGAACAAAAGATGGAAAAAGGAAGAATAAATAAAAATCGCATACCTTCCTGGGTAAAAGGTGGTCCCGAACATGGAGGCCTCCCTCCATTCAGCCACATACAATGCTGATTATCTGGATTAAAATCACTTGAGGGCATACTCCATTTTTCATCAGTAACATATTGCCTCTGAACATTAGAAAGAGATGGCAGCGAGTAGGGACGGTGAAACAGTTGCTGCATGTGCTGCTGAACTGTTGGTTTTGTGTATAAATGGCCTGGTGGGGTTTCTGCTGGGAGGCCAGGAGGATATGGTCTCTGAGCATAAGATGCATTAATTGGTTGGAACTGCTGCTTGGGCTGAGCTTGAGGATTTAAATACATGTCATTATGTCCATATTCAAATGGCCTTGAAGAATTAAAGCCAGAAGGATCACATGTATTGCCATCTCCTGCTGCCACAAAGCAAGGAGATTGTTGTGGAAGCATCTCGCTTTTCATAGCAGTATTAACATGTCCTGGATGAGTACTTCCAGAAATTTGGAGGGAGTCACTACAGTACTCTGGAGGTACAGATTGCCGATATGTCAATGGTGGTGAAGAAGATGGTATTGATAGTTGCATTGACAGTGATGACTGAGGTGGCAATGATTGAGGAGGCAATGAAGGTTGAGGTTGCAATGATGGTTGAGGTGGCAATGATGGTGGACGTAGTAATGATGGTGGGCCTGTAGATGGAACTGCTTGTGTAGGTGGTTGTGATAGCAACAGCGATGGTAGTGGTAGTGGTGGTGGTGGTGGTGGAGGTGGTGATGGAGATGAAGGTGGTGGTGGTGGTGGTGGTGAAGGAGGCAAGGGGGGTGGTAGAGGTGGAGATTCTAAAGGCAATGGTGGAGAGCAAGGTGGTAAAGGCGGAAGCTCAGAAAGATTATCTGAACATGATTTCAAAATTCCATCTTTAGTCTGTCGTTGTAAATTCAGTTCAAAAGAATTGTTTCCACCCCTGGTCCTGCCATCCTTTGGGGATCCAGAAACATCTTCCATTTCAAGCTCACCATCCACATCCTCCAAAATGCAGTGGCATCTGTCACTTGGAGTAACTGCACATGTTTCTGGCTCTTCTAAAGCATTGGATGGTTCCACTAGTGATTCAATACCAGTTTCTTTGCATAAACTGCTGGAAAGATCTTCATCTTCAAATACATTAGTGGATAAAAGGCCAGGCAACTGGAAAGTTGCATTGCTGAAAGCATCACAAACTACATATATCAGACCCTATGTTACATGAAGCAAGTAGCAAAAGCATGTAAAAATTGAAAAACATAAATGTACTGAAATACTTGTCATTAAATGTGTAAATAGAATTGCATACTAGCTTAAATGAAATACTTAAGCACATACTAATTTGTTAAGAGCAAATTGTTGTTTGAATATAGCACCCTTCTGTAGAAAGTTCATGCATAGAAAACTGATCAAATAAAAGTTCATAGAAAGGAAAAAGAAGAGAATCCCAACAATAAAAAACAAGTGAATCCCAAATTAAGCTAACCAGCAAAAACCTTAAGATTATATGAACAAGTGTTTCAAAAGCACAAGGCACAAGGGCTTGTTTAAGAAGTAATCTTTAACTAATAATTACAAATTACTATTGTTGAGTGGGCTGATTTATGTTGGGCCGATTTATGTTTAGTTTGTTTTCTTTTAAGTTAAGAAGTTGTTGGGCCTTGGGCCCATTAGTCTTTTATTTTT